AAATGCAAATAAAAATTTAAGTTTTATCATACATTTTTAAATTGGTGTTATAAATCCATAATTTTAATATCGACATTTTAAAAAATTCGGTAAAAAAATATGATTTTTATTATATATTTGATATTCTATCAAAATTGTCTTTATAAAAAAATTAAAAAAATAATATTGGCAATAGTAAAAGTTGTGTTTTTTAATTATTAAGATATTTATGATAAAATTGTTTATAACTTAGGGGTGGTGAGAGATAAATTTCTCTTTTATGCTTTTGTGATTTCTTTCTTTCTATTTTGTTTCCTTACTTTTGTCTGTTTCTCAGGTGAAGTTGGATTAGGTTGGAAATTTGTTTAGCATGGAGAGCACTTACACAAAAGCGACAAAGCTTGGCCATATATATTTCAAATCATAAAATATTTTCATTTCTTAATTTCTATTTGTTTTAATATATTTCCATTTTCTTATAGTTTTGGCTTTATACATTTATTGTTAAATTAATTAACAAAGACATTTTAATATTTCCACTTTGCTTAGTATTTAATTATAAGTGTGTGCTTTATACACTTTTATTGATTGAAACTGCCAATAAAAAGACATCCAGTATAATGATTTTTCCAGCTATGTTAGAGTGTAAGACTGATTTAATTGCTTCAATTTCGATCTCCTAGTCATGCAATCAAATCTCTTAATGAGCAAGATTAGTAAAAGGGTAAATTTTGTAATAATATATATATAAACTATTTTTTTAGAATTGGATTTAAATAATAACTATAATCTCTTACATAATAAGATTTTATGGTGATAATTCGACACCTTTAAACACATTACATGACTATCTTTCATCCAATGAGGAACTTTTAATCTCAATTATGCAATGAAAGTACTCTAATTCAAGATAAAATTTTGACTACTTTTTAATCAATAAGTGCAATGGCAAGGAGAAGACACCGTTCTTTTTCATCATCTTTTAAAATAATACCTTTATGATGAAATAAACATAAAGTACTCCCACTTAAAAGTATATAATAATACCAAATAATGCAAAAAAAAAAAAAAAGTTTGTTTCAAAAACAACCAAATTATCAAAAAGCTCACACACACACACAACTTTTTATCATGTCCAAGCTATGAAAAATGTCCTTAAAATGAATCAAACAAAAATCCTCCTATATACTTTGAGAACATTTGAATTTATCTATATATCTTTCAATTCAAGTTGCTAAAACATATCCATATGTGCAATGAAAGAGGGTCTATTATTGAAACCCACTTAAGTCATATTTGTTTAAAAGCTTGTTAGTCAAAGACATCATTCTCACACTAAATGTTAAATGTCACATTGATATTGAGTCTTACCATCAATATCATTCAACCAATAAAATATGCATCTTTATGGTCTTTCTTTGTCTAGTTTAATACGAATCATTCACTGTCTTTACATAGTTTTAATCCAACTCTCTCTATAATGCACTCGCTTTATTTAATGCTTTCAAAACTAAAGGCTTTTCAATTCATTAAGAACACTAGCTAATCAAAGTACGTGTAAATTGTAATTGTCTTGCATGAAACCTCATAGAAAAAGCTTCATCAATTAAAGGCTTTGTCCTTTTGGATGGGTGTGTGGAAAAATATTAGCCAATTATGTTGTTGTTTTTATGACAAGGGATTAATAGCAATAGAGCTACCCTAGTCTCTCCAGAGCATTCAGATGAGGTCATATAATAGAAAAGTAATCTTTTATTTGTGTTTTACCTTACTAATTTTTAGAAAATCAGCTTGAGGAGTAAAATTTTCTATAAAATTTTTTTTAAGTTAAATATGTTATTTAAAATCTTTTCAATACACTTCTTCGATATTAATATAACTTTAAATTTGATGCGTGGATATAAATACGGAGTAATTCATAAGTAGATTGTAAAAAAAAAATCTTGTTGTTTTATTGCTAGTTGCTACGTAATTTTAAATGCTTTTAAATTATTTTTATCAATGTCAAAATTCTTATAATATAAAAGATGTTTTTTTTATGAAATCTCGATATTCAATCTTAAAAAATTATTATCGATTAATTTAAGAGGATTTATTTCACCGTCTAATTGTGGGCGTCCGTTTAAAGACATGGACATGGTCTAAAATTAAAAAATAACTAAATTTGAATATCATATTAACTTTATAATTTTAGAAGATTAAAAACTATTTTAAATCATTTTTATCAAAATTAACACTGTCATAAATTGTTTTGATCTAAATTGTTGTATAAAATTTATGATATTGTTTGAGCTACTATATGTAAGAATTTATAAAATAAATAGAGGAATTATAAGGAGAAAAGAAATATATATTAAAAATATAAAATAATTTTATATTGTCACTCAATGACAACCATATATTCTGTAAAATCATATTGAAAGGACATGACATAATTATAATAATGTATCTCAACTTTATGTTAAAATAGGCCCAACTTTATAACTTTAGAAGATAAAAACTAATTTGAAGTAATTTTGTATCATCTTTAAAATTCTATCCAAAATTTTTATTTGATCTAAATTTCTCTTTAAATTCGATGATCTTTTATAAACTTATATAAATTGATAATTTCAATCACACCGGAAAAAAAAAAATCATGAGTTGATTATATTGAAACCACACCTCTCCTTTGGCTCTTTATTGGATCTTCTGAATACTTTACTCATCTGATACGTATTGAATTTTTGAGTTGGGGATTACTTCTCCTATCATAAATATTGACGTAAATAGTATATTCATCTAATAATCACATTTGATAGTAGAAAGTAAATAAAATTTGAATATTAATATAAATAGAAAAAGTTAGTTTGAGTTTTTTACGATAATAAAATATAGTCTTTTAGTTTATTAGAGATTTTGGTAGTTGTGTGTTTAGAAAAAAATTTAATTTTTTCGTACAAAAATTTATTGTAGAGAGGATTTACTATCTTTTCGTCCAAAAATTGTAGTTGAGATAAGATTTGCAATTTTTCTGTTCAAAAATTGTAGTTGTAAGAGGGTTTGCAATTTTTCCGTCTAAAAATTATAGTTGATATTGCAATTTTTTCGTCCAAAATTTGTATTTGAAAGAGGGTTTGTAATTTTTTCGTTCAAAAATTAAAATTTAGAGGGTTTACAATTTTCTCCTTCAAAAATTGGAATTATATAATATGAGAGGGTTTATAATTTTGTCCTTATAAAATTAGAAGTTGAATAATGAATTTGTGAGTTTCATTTTTAGAATTTTTGCTTCTTTTTCTTCTTTTATGTATGTGCTTATGTGTGCGTCGATATTTATTTGTTATTTTTTTCAACAATTGATATAAGAGTCTGGTGTCGCGCCGCGAAAAAACACTGAGTCTCCACCGAACACTATTTATTTCGAAGGAAGTGAAGATATCAAGAGAACCCCAAAGAAATGGATAAGATGGTCTTGCGACCAAGAGAAAGGGTACGTAAGCCGATTACGCGAGGGGAATGTATTAGCACCCCTCACGTCCGTGGTACTCCACATGATCCACTTAAGTTTGCTCTAATCTAAGAGTGTGTAAAACTCTATGTCCAAGCTTAATACTAAGAGGGAATGCATGTGAAAGAAAACACGGAAAAAAAAGGAATATTTACATAGTTTTGCTCGCATAGGTCCCACGACCTAATGCCTACGTATCCCCTTCGAAGAATCAGAGCATCGTAGTTCGGCTCAAATATTTCGGTTTGTTATGTATTTTTTATGGGTGACGACCCTTTTGAAACAGTTTTGAGTTACGCCCTTAAGACAAAGATGCCACGTTTGATTGGTTTGTATTATGTCATTTCTGAAAGTGTTTAAGTATGATTAAGTATTTTTGGATTTTCGATTAAGAAATTTTTTTAGTTTAAGATGGATGCAAAAGAAAGAAAATCTAGGGGGAGAACTAGAATCCTAATGTTAGCATGCAACGACCCTAAAGTTGATTAACAAAGGGAGAATCTACCTAGTGTTAGCATACAAAGATAGACCTAAGGGTGAGGATAACAATCCTACAGGGAACATGCACTGAGATCGAAGTCGTGATCTCAATTCTAACTATCGATCAATAATAAATAATGAAAAGCAATAAATTCCTATAGAGAGCATGCACTGAGAGCAAAATCGTGATCTCAATTCTAATTGAGTGACTCATCAATCGACGATAAATAAAGGAAAGCAATAAAGTCCTATAAGAAGCATGCACTGAGAGCAAAGTGTGATCTCAATTATAATTGAGTGACTCATCGATCGACAATAAATAAAACCAATGCCTACATCATAGGACTTCAAATGCAGATGCATGAAAGAGAGATAAACTCAAGTGGTACTTAACAAAGAAGGTCTGTTGCCTCTTCCAAGTTGCGTAAGCGATGAGAAAACTCTACAGAAAATGCTTCGCACAAGTGACCAAACGAGTTAATCTCCAAATGCTCCATATCACAAAAATCGAATGAACATTCCATTACAAAGCTAACAAATCACATGAACATTCGATGAAACATAAAGCAATATTTTTAGCTTTTTCATGAGCATAACCAAAAACAATCACTGAAACGTTTATTCAAGGATCAAAACCTACTTATTAATCATTCACAATGCAAAGAAAATTGATCAAAACAAAGAGGAATCGATCATAACACCATAAAACCTACTTTTAACCACAATTCGATATTTAATCAAAGTAGTATCTAAACTAATAAAAAAATCATGAACAATCATATCTAAGTTAGGGACTAACATATTACTATCCACACAAAATTTGAGCCAGAAAATCATGAAAAATAATAAAGAATTTAATGCTAAAAATCCAAAACACAAGAGAAATTAAGAACTAGCTAGGAGGTGCAATGGACCATAACAGAGTGTGAAAAGTGAGCCCAAACACTTCAGAGGCCCAAACGAAATCTAACAAGATCCAGTTTTTTTTCATTTCCATTATTTTTGATTATTGGTGATTAATTATATTGTATATAAAAAAACAAAAATGAAAAGACAGTGTTTTATGGAACGCTGCGTTTGGCTCTGACTATTGATATCCTTTTGAAACCCACTCAAGTCCCTCTCATCTTCGAACGGCGTCGTAACCCATTCTCCCCGCGCCGTCTTCTTCTTCTAACCGTCACCGCCGCATTGCTATCGATCTCCGACTCTACTTCGTTTCCACCGGCTTTACTCATCTCCGCTCCCTCCTTTCTCCGATTCAACCTTCACTCACATCTCCGCTTTGCATTTGATTCACAACCTCCGTCTCGGCTTCGTTCTCATCTCTCTTGCGATTCCGGATTCAGCGCAACACTAAATCGATCGGAGAAACCGAAGAAAAAAGAGGAAAACACGAAGGCTTACTTGCAACGATCTGGAAAATGAAGAAGAGAAAACCAAAGAGGAGGTTCCACAGGTACGAAATTGTTCATGCCTTTCTTGTTGTTCTTGTGCTATCTTTTCCTTCTTCTCCTTCTAATTCCGTGATTCTGAGATTCTGTGTTGTTTGTTCGTTTTCACTGTGATGCGGTCGTGAGTGATGCAGCGAAGTAGGATTGAGAAAGAATGAATATAATGATGAACGAAGGTTCCGCGGTGTGGAATTGTTGCTGTAACGTTGATGAGGTTTGAGATGAAGATCGAAGTTGTATGATGAAGAAGCGATTGAAGAAGTGTTGATGATTGAAGAATGAAAGATGAAGATGTGCAGTGGTTGCGGATTGTTGAAGGTGCGATGGAGGTTGAGGATCGATGATGATTGGTGATGAGGTGAGTGGAGAATGAAAAATGAGGAGAATGAAGATAGTTTAGAGGTGAGTTCTTCGGTTTTTTCTTTGTGTGATGTGTTGTGTGAATAATCAATGTTGTGAATATCAATTCTGTTATATCTGGAAAGTTTGTTAGAGTTTCTCTGAAAGTTAGTTATGAGGACTGGTTTTCAGTTAGCTTTCTGTTATGGTATGAAGTTGATGAGCTGGCATCGGTTATGGTAGTTATAGGGTGGTTAAGAAGTTTTTGTTGTAACTGTTTTTTCAGTTAGTTGTTAGTTAGAATTTAAATGAGATTGGAGTTTTCTATTTTCTGTTTTTAGTCAGTGAAGTCAGTGATGCGGTTACGGTTAGTCACGGTGCATGAGCTGGCAATTGGTTAAGTGATGTTAAGAACTATGAGCAAAGTGTTTGTTTTAGATTTTCTGTTGAATATGGTTAAGTTCCAGTTCTGACTTGCAGGGCACTGTTTAGTAATTAGGATTAAAAATTGAAGGTTAAGCTCGTTATTGAATTATGGAATTCTATTAAACTGTAGTGGAATAAGTAAAGCCAGTAGGTTTTCTAATGCAAATAGTGTGCAAGTAAGTTTGATTTTTTGGATGATGGCGATGCAGACCCTACAACAATGCTAGAATGTCAAATTGATAGGTCTGGACTATATGCAGGTATATGGCAATTTTTTTGGCAACTGATATTGTGTGCCTTGTGATGCAGATCTGGTTTATTATGTAGAGGTATCAGCTTGATGCAGGGCTATCTTGGTTTATGTTTGGATTTTTGTCAACTTCTATACTGTCTTGTAATGTATGCAGGTTGTGGTTAATTGTTGATGTTTAGGAACTTTGGCTCACAGAAAACTTGGCCTTAGCAACTTAGAATTTAGGAACATGCTTTATAACTTTTCCTTTTTGTAATGTTACAACAAGAAATGGCAAAACGAATTGCAATGTACACATGTTATTCGGAATGAATCATGAGTGAATGTGAATGGGAATATTTGGTGAAACTTGTTTACTTTGAATGGTATTTGAAACTTTTAATGGTGTTTGAATATCCTTGAATAAAGTCGTTTAAAAAATTTTGACTCCATTATTTGCAATGCCAATCCTCTAATTTGTTTTATCTTTTCCATCCTTTGAAATCATAACATGAACATGTAGATATTAAGTGGACTTTGGTCAAACCATCAACTTTCTAAGTTGACTTTGACCAAAGTTGAAGAAATTGATCAATGTGTGTTTGAATCAAATTTGTACGCTTTTGTGATTCCATAAAAACTTTAAACCTAATCAATTTGTAGATCATGCTTGCATCTTGAAGACCCTAATTTAAGGCTTGAATTTCATGTTCACCATAACTTGCATTTGAAGTAACAATTGATCGAAGAAAACACCCTTAAACTACGACACTCAAATTGATGAAAGACGACCCCAATGAAATGACACACCATGTAGCATATTTTGACCAAACCTCTTACTCCATGATAGGCATGACATAAGGGTGAATGTCATGATTCAAGAACAAAGACATCCATGTATGCAAGTCCGTTTCTTGACCTCTTAAAGAGAAAATCGTAATGCCATAACTTGTGAAACAGGTAACCAAAAGAAGTCTTCAATCTAACGGGTGATTGCAACACAAGGACTAGGTAACCAAAATAAGTCTTCAATCTAACGGGTGATTGCAACACAAGGACTGCATCTCAATCCACGGTCCATAAGAACTTCCACGTATAATGCAAAGTCTTCTGAATGAAATTCAATTAAATGACTTGTACTGCAAGCAACAAAGAATCCACACACCTTATGAGATGACCCAATTAATAGGATACCATGAGAATAAATTCATGAGAAATGCATAACCAAAGCTTTGAGGTCCATCTGATAGTCACAAACACATAGAGGTGAATCTTAATTCATGATCCATGATATCTTCAATAGAAACAAACTTGCAGAGTGTAGAATTCCAAGGTCCTTGATCCTATGTCAAATTAATGATTAATGATTCATGATGTATCTAAATGACTTAATGGAGATGCATATTATGATACAGTGAAAGAATCGACTATTTAATACTGGTTTTTGCGTTTTGTATTCGTAAATGTTGCGGTAAGCAAGAGTCGCCACCGACTTTTCTTTTATCCAAATTAAGGAAAGGGTGAAAAGAACAGAAAAAGATCTTTTCGAGATTTTCTGAGTAAGGGGGGTAGATTATGGAAACGGAAGGTGTTAGCACCCTTTCCATCCGTAGTTATCTATGAGCTCTTAGAGGTTTGCTCATTTTTAAAATATCTTTGTGCTTTGTGTGTTTTGAAAATGTTTGGAAAATGCCTTAGTGCAGCGATTTGCTTTGCGTTAACTCTTGTATAAGTCCTCAAGAGTGTTAACAAAATAAATGTTTTTGAAAAGTAGTATTTGTGTAAGTGTAAAATGTTTTTGAGCAAACTTCTAACAACTATCTACTTTTATACTTGAAAAAGGTAGTTCTTTTCCTCCTATCCTTTAGACAGTGCTATCCTACTATTAGAGAGTAGGCAGCCCTATTGTTGGATGTATGAGGGACATCGAAGGGACGATACAGTCACGAAAGCAACTTGTGGAGACACTTTAGCAAATTTGTTTAGGGACTAGATCATTTACCGAGAGGCAACTGTAGGGTCATCGAGGGCCTATGATCTTTTTGATTTACGGGTCTTTGCTAAAGCGTCCCCGTTTCGAGGGACATGAATGCTTTATTTCCGAAGGCAACCAAAGTGGGGTACCCTAGAGGCGGATATGTGCAATTGTGTTCAGTTCAAGTATTTATTGTCTTTTGTGTTAGATTTGCTAACGTTTTGTTATTAGTCTTATCATACATGCCTAATTATTAACAATAATATTTTGCAGGAAATAGAATGCAGAAGGTAAAAGCCTAGACTATTACATGGCTTCGGGGAGGAGGATTTACATTCCAAAATAATTAGGGAAAGGAAAAATAAAGAAAGCGGTAAAAATCATAATTAATCTATTACATCCAATATACAGGTACAATAATGCAAAAATGCGAGAAAAATAATAACGCGCGAAAGTTAAAAAATACGTCTAAACCTAAAGTGATTCTAAGTAAATAAGACAAACTTTTTGTTGTTTTTGATTTAAGAAAACAATGAAAATTGTCCTAAAATCTATTTAGAAAATAAAGTTAATTTTAATAAAATAGTCTAGGTTTTTTTATGGTTTTTGGTTACAAAAAGAGAATAATTTAAACATATAAATTAAACCTAATTCTATTTTATTTTAAATTAAGAAAAGGTTAAAGTTTAGTTAATTAATCAATTAAATAAATTAATTATTTAATTAAAAAAAATTAGTCTTAAGTTTTTTTTTGTGATTTTTTAGTATTTGATTAATGATAAACAAAACAAAAGAAATAAATTAAAAAAAATAAAGAAAAACTAAAGGGGACATGATAGAAAAATTGAATGGGGGGTGCTGATTTGAAAAATACTAGGCCCAAGGGTGAGGGAACCCAGAGGTCGTATTGGGATCTAGTGAAGAGAAAGCCTTGAGGGCGCATGGTGAATCTCACATTGAAGCTCTTGGATCTGACTGCATTGACATTGAGAGGTGTAGATATAATGTTAGACGGTGCACATGCATAGCCTGGCTGTACTAAATCTCCAAAGAAAGAATTGAAAAAGAATATGTAAGAGGTAGGGTTCGAACCCCTGTCCTTACACATAACAAAGCTTTAAATGCGCTGCCTCTATCGTTGGGACGGTGATAGTTCCATTAGTATACATCAAAAGATTATGATATATTGTAAAATGAGTCATAACGTCGAGCCGTCACATGCACGCAAGTCCAGTAGGGTCCAACCATTTGAATGGACCAATCAAATTGTTCCCTTCTGCCACGCCTTAGTCAGTGCCGGTTAAACCACCAGAGGTGGTGGCTCCGGTCATCTCTTCCGATCACTCCAAATTTCCAACCTGCGAAATTTAAACATAACAAAAACAAAAATGACCCTACACCCCTAATTTGGGGTCTACAAATTCAGTGGTGATGTTTATTTAGTCTGAAAGTTCCTGGATTATGAGATTCGAAACTTTTTAGTTTGTGATGCCTTAACAATGGCATCACACCATTCATGCCTTAAAGTTTTCATGCTACACGTCCCACGTGTTCTAATGGACCTCCTGATCACAAATCACACCATCAAAAACATCAACAACACATGAATCTAAAATTTCAAATATGACAAACCTTGTTCAACCAGTGACATACGATCTTGCAGTTTGAAAGTACTATGGACTTTGAAAATGGCTGGAAGTGACTGCTGGAACCTTCAGGAACGTGATGGAGTCTTTCGTTTGGACTGAGGGAGGCTGGATTAGTGTTTCTATTTGGGAAACTTTAAGAATTTTTTTCAATTTGGTAGTGTTCTCCCTAGGTTGTGTAGGCGTGTAAGCATGTATTTAGCTTGCAAGCACGCTGCTTATATATAGTAGAAGGGAGGGGACAAGAAGATAATGGTTTAAACAACCTTGATCATGTTCTTGAAAACCATGAATGAAAATTTGCAACGTTTGTCAAAAACATGAAATCTTGTCCTTTTTTTGAAATTTGAATGTAT